GTAACAAACGGGTTTGGTGGATTTGGAGGACACAAATGAAGGCAATTGAGACAGAAGGTGAGCAAAAATAAATCTGACAATGCAAAACAGTAACTTTTAGAAAGTTCAATGGTCAAAAAAATGAACTGATGTTAATGTCACTAACTAAATTTAAAAACAAACCAGTACTATGGAGGAAATATGATGGGGAATAGAATTTCATAAAATAGAATATAACAGGATTGAGCAGCATATAGCAATAAAAACCAGTGATGCTGTGTTCCAGTTATTTGTTCAATTTAGAGAAGAACATATAACATTTATACAAGTGTGTCTCATAAAGTCAACATGTTTATATCATAGTTTATCACTATTTATGTGAGGAGATGCCATATTGTAACACAAAATCTGCCTCACAAGTTGCAACTGGGCATAGTTGGAGTTGCTTCCCTTTCGCATCTGGAAATCCAACATCGGAGGGTTGTTTCCCTTCCCAAATGGGAAGCTGGTATTTTCCAGCTTCCCAACTGGAATGCAGCATAAGCTTGCATGCTGAGGGAAAAGTGAATTACATTCTGTGCAGGTGAGTTAATTAGGGAGTAGATATTGCTCTGGAGGAGAGCAAATGGGTAGACTGAGGGATGATGAATAATGAACTCAAAGTAACCTGAACTAGACAAAGAAGGAGACAATACAAACCAAGGAGAAACTAACTAAACCCTGGTCTAAGAGAATTAAATCCAAATCCACAAAGAAAAGAACAATTATAATGGCAATAACAACTGAATGTGGGAAAACATTTTCTAACAATAATTAACCCAGAAAAAGGAATGCAGAAGAAAACACACAAACACTCCATCACATATTGTCACTCTATTTATTTCCAAATTTACCCTTCTTCACCAAACTCCTATTTCACTCTTCTACTTTATGGAAATGCTGCAACCTCCTGGACATTTATGAGCACATTTCCATAAAGCTGTGTTTGTTGAGGACTATATATCCCCTTTGTGGCATTAGAACATAAGCACTATTGTGCTTCAAGCCAAAAACTTGCAAAAGTTAAGAAAAATAATTAAAAAAACAAATATATATTTACTTTGTAAGCTTGGGGACAGCAGTCAGGAGCCCGAAAATATCTTGCTCCTAATTTTAAGCCAAGGTAGTAAAAATTCAATATAATTTTTTAAAAACTGCTTCAAACCAGACTTTCCTAACTTGCGAACTGCCTCCTGTCTGCTCATTCGCTTTCATCGTGCTCAGGTTGTCACACAGCTTGATGGGAGCCAGTGAGGTTTGAGGGTAATTGCCTTTTGTAAAAAATCGGAGTCAAAATGCAAATTTGTGTCAACATTTTTTCAGGTGTTTCTATTTTTGCAGAATAACTGGAAAACAACAGATTACAAACAAAGTCTGACATATGACAGGTGTATAAATAATATTTGCAAGTACAACAGAGCCCAGCTGAATCACTGATTGCAATAATGGGAGCCATTAATGAAAGCCGCCCAAGTGCAAATACCATATCTTTTGTTTGGATCTCAGTTCTCAGCGTCACACCAAGCCAATATTTCTATGTTAATGTGGGAGCTGTCCTGCAGCATTTCAGTGGAAATACTGAACTACACTTGTACTGAAAACAAAGAGGGGGGAGGAGGATATGCTGATTAGAGGAAAGGCAAACCATAGTGTGCTTGGAGTTTTGTTTAAAGAAATAGCATGCAGTTAAGCCAATTTTGAAACAGGGTTTCCCTCTGGCCTGCTATCTTTACTTGAGATAATGTTTTTTTTGTTGTTGTTGAAATTAGCACCTTTCTGCATTCATAAATACAAAAATTTGATATTGTAATCATCTTTACAACAGATATATAAAGTGCTTTGGAAAAATAAAAATAAAACTATTTATTTTGTTTGTTTCTCACATTTAGATAGTGAAGTCCTGAAAAAATCTGAGGCAAAGATTATCTGAGTGAATCCCAAATTCCCAAAGGACTTCAGGTACTGTCATCTGGACCCCCTCATATTCAAAGCCTTAATTTGTCTATGCACTTGTAGTTGGTCCTGCTGGTGTACTTCTGATTACTGCTTACTGCATAACCCAAGTCCAAGTGAATTTAAAATCACAAAATGTTGGTTGGATAATATCCTTCAAGAATTTCTTTGAGAGCAACATTTTCTGTTCTGTCAATGTCATTTTTTTTTATATAGAACTTTTAAAAACAGGTGTAAAAACTGCACCAGTGATATACAAAAATGATAACCCAATAGAATTAAATCTGCCAATAACGGCAAGTATAAATGTAGTTAATCACAATGAATTGACATTAAGAAGAGTGGGGTTAGTTTTTCAAATAGGACTAGATTTTTTGGAATTTTTTTTCACCTTAATAAATTGAAAGTCTTCTAATTAGGATTTTTATATAATTAAAATTTTGCTGACATATTTAAAAATAATTTTGATGACCTGAAACATTAAGGTTTGCAAAATGAAAGCAAATACAGATGAACGTTCTGAAGGGGAAAAAAAAACAAATTCACAACACTGTGAGGTCTCCATGTCCTTTCAAGAAATCACACCAAGATAGATAACAAAACATTTTAAAAACTACAACCAGTAAAGGTCAATTGCAAAAACAAATTGATTGACTTTTTTTTTTTGCCTCACCAAAAATAAAACTGTTTTAATAGTTCAAGTGTGAACACTTATTTATTAATAATGTAAAGGCTTTTGTCCTTCCATCCCACATCATATCCCAGATATGTGGAGAAAACAAGTGTTCCCTTCCCTATTTAAAACCCTAAAAGATTCTTCTGCTCTCTTTCACTGACAGGTATCATTCAACAATGAACTATTTCTAATTCTTTGGAGGCTCAGTGTTGTGTGTGACACAGAAAATGTTGAGGAAAAAAACAGCTGAACTTTATTTGTGGTTAACCAGGAGTGATCATTCATATTATATCGGACAAGCAAACAGTTATGTTATAACTAGTGCCCTAATGAGTGTCTTCAGATGTTCTCTGCTGCATCAGAGCTAATTATAAGGAATAATATAAATTTCCGGACCAATCATTCACAATTTGTCGACCTCACTAATCAGTCCTTGGTTTTATTAATATTGGTCTATTCCTCTTCTTGGCCTATTCATCTTTCATCAGAGCCAGAGATGCACTTTGTTTATCCCCAACTGTATTTGTTCTAATTTTGTCTGAACAACATAAATCAGCCAGCACTGCTGTATTACTTATGTACTCAGCAGTTATAAAGCATTAATTGGCTATTCTGGGAATAAAAACAAAGCAGCACTCAAAAATGGAAAAAAGAAAAAAAAAACTTAATATGGAAATAACCTATTTAGGGATACTGTATATAGAACAGAAAGGCCAATATGAGCTAAATAACAAGAACTATGTGATGTTTTATGACTGTAATGAGCTTTCAGGTGTTTGTAATCTTAGCATAAATATGCCATGCAAACTTTCCTGTCGGTGGTTGACGTCAAGCTTTTAAATAAGATTACCTGCTCACTGTGACCCCTTCCTAAATGCAACTGCCTCTTATGTAATTAGCACCAGATGCAGCAGAGACAAAAGAGACTAACATGCCTACAAATGGCTCATTAGTTGTCTACTTCTGCATAAATTGGAGATGTCTACCCAAATGGGTTTATGTCGACGTCTTTTAGAATGAGATCATTACAGACACAAGTCAGTCTGCTCGCACGCTAAAGATATCCTATTGTTTTTCTCCCAGTCACCTTCTTTGGATGGCTGACATTCAACATTTGAGTCATGTCAGGTTGAACTTCATGCATAAATTATAAAAAAGGATTATGACCATTGACAATTAAGGTGAATAACATGGATTATCGTTTCGTCATGGCACCTGTCAGAGCAAAGGACTATGTAAGGCAGCAAGGGAATATTTTGTCCACCAAGTTGATGTGCTAGAAGAGGAACAAATTGTCAGGCAAGAGGATTTGAGGGAGTTTGACAAGAGCCAAATTGTGAAGGCTGGGTCTGAGCATCTCCTACACAAGATGTTGGACAAACACAGTTCATACCACTGACATAACTGTGGTACGAACAGTTACCACAGTTCATACTGTGGTAACTGTATGAACTATCAACCAAACCACGGTTTGGTTGATGGTCAACAACCAAACCATCATACTGTCGCAGTAGCTGCTTGTGCGTGTGATGTTTATCTGATAGAAAAAGACAAAATCTGCTGATGTTCATGGATCATTTTAAATTACTGCTTAGTTTGCTAATATATTCCACTAGTATTCTAGAGAAATGCAGGAGCTGGTCATTGCTGGTCAGATATGAAGCAGAAATTGCATGCTTCACCCTAATGCTGCAAAAAAAAATAGTTTTATAAATTATAATATTTGTCATAAGCAGGCATTCATTTCCATGGTGAATAATGTAAAAAAAATAAATAAATAAATACAACAAAAACAAACACTAAGCTCACCATAGATGGCTTTTAAATTTCTTTCGGGTGGAGGTTTGTTTAGTTTCTCTCAGACATTTTCCCATGGCTTCCTCCACCTCACCAGAAAAATCTCCACATAAATCTTCACATTATGAACTTAAATTCAAGCTGGAAACCTAATAATTATTGCTTTTGTTTTTGGTGGCTGACATACATAGATACATAGATCCCAGAGAAACATAACATCATTGTTCCTCATCTTTTAGGTCAAACACTAATGACGGTGGTCATAATGTTCTGCCTCGACTGCTACAACATGACCACTGATGTGAGGACTCCACCTGCTCCTGACTCCATCCTCCTCCTCTGTCCCTGTAGTTATCACGGCTGCCCGCCTGTCCCCCCGCCCCAGTGGACTACCTTCTCTGAGTACTGCAGCAACACCAAACTGGCTATAAATCACATTGCATTATCACCGCGCCGCGCTTTGCCTCTCTATCCTCCCCGCCCACCGCGCGCTTCCCATTGGTCTGCTCGGCTCCTCGCTCTGCCTTTCTCTGCGGGACATCGGTGCAATCGTACATCCCGCCTCCTTCCTTGGGGCCAGCGATTGGGGGAGACGGCCTCTCCTTGAGCTGCCAATCAAGCTGCGCGCTGTGCGCCTCGCGTTCAACGCTGCTCTCTGCGACGCGCTTAGTGCGGAGCGAGGAGACGCGCTGCATACCAACAGAGACACAAACGGAGAGGCTTGAGTTTTTTTGGCCAGGACGCACAGACTCCATCCTGCTCTCTGAGAAAAAGATTATCAAATCAGATTATCGGACGGTGTGAATGTTTACCTTTCAGTTTTCATGCGTTCTTAGAGAAATCCTGCCTGTTCTTCAAGGCACTGAGAGCCAAACTAAGTCTGTCTGGGATATTTGGGCTTTCTGCTGTTACATTTTTTATCTGGCAGACAGAGACATTTAAGAAAATCTCACTCATTCTTTTTTTTCCTATCCTTTGCTGGCTGTCTCTCTCTTTCTCTCTCTCTGACGGGACTTATTAAAAAAGTCGGATGTAGAAGAGTTGGACTATTTCTGCTGAGATTCATCCAGTGGGTTGTTTTTACACACACATAATTCCCGCAGCGGCTCCATAACGAAGGAATACCCCAACATTTGAGCAGAAAATCAATCAGAACTCCATCATGGGCTGCCCTCTTTTGCAGAACACATTGGCTGGTTTGATCCTGGTTCTTCTGTCTAAAGGTAAGTTTCTTCAGTGAGCTTTTGCTTTTTAACATTCTGTTAATGGTTGTGGGAAGGGGGGGGGGGGGGAGGATACTGATGATGATGAGAAGGAAGAGGAAGAAGCTGGGGGTCCAAGCCTGCATGTGGATCACGCGTGTCTGCTGTTTTCTGTTTGCTTACACACAGATGTGAAGAAATGCTGTTTGTACGCATGCACACAGAGCGCGTGCGTGTGAGCGCGGAGCAGTGTGTGCAGCTACTAGTAGACATCGTGGCTTAGCGTGGGCATCGACTGATGCATGTTGAGATGTTTACAGAAGGGGGAGGAATTGACTCCTATCCCTCGGTTCTCGGTGAACATTCCTTTACTACGTGACTTGAATGGGCCGGCGGCATCCCCAAGCGCACGACGCATTTTGTGTGCAGGAGGGAGGCGGGGCGGGGGAGGCTGCGTGGAGTTAATGTGAGTACGGGTCGGAGCAATGCAGAGAGACAATGTTTTTGTTCTTTCCTCAAACCAAGGTCGTGGAAGAATGCGAGATGGATGGGAGGTTTTGGGATGCTGAAGTGATCCACCATGAACTGCCTGGGTTTTCTCTTTTTAATGCCGGCATAAAACATTTTCATTCAGCTCATCGGGAGGCAAGCGCACGTTAAGAATATGCGCCAAAATTTCTTGCCCCTATAAAAGAGATAAGATGGTCACTTAGCATTTTAACTGGGTTCCTACACATTCATACTCAATATTATAGAGTTCACATTTTTGGAGTTTTTAGTCAGTTTTGCCTATTTTAAAGTTGACCAATGTACTGAATACAAATAATTCTGTCAGTGACCCTTGTGCAAGAATTGTGTAAATGAACGAATAGTTGGATGGATTGATACATAGATTTATGGATAGGTAACATAAACACGGCAGGCTGGATTGGTAGATGAATGAATTCATAATTACTTCTTAACATGGGTCAAATTGTGGTGGCCAGACAACTGGATTAGGGCATCTCCAAAATCTATAGCTCTTATAGGGTTTGCAGAGGTCAGAATCATTACTGATCTAAAGAAGGAACAGTGGTGAACAGGGTAGGCTGTTACACATCAATTCACATTAATTCCAACAAGTAGCTGCTGAGCCTCAAATTAACTTCTTCAGTGAAGAAGTTAAAGCTGGTTCTGACAAAAAAAAAAAAAAAAAAGGCATCTAAATCTACAGTGCAGCTTGTTTGCTGACCAGTCAGGGTGTCCATTTCCAAAAGTGCAATCAGTTGGCACGTGAGTATCAGACATAGACCATGAAGCAGCGGATGAAGTGTGGCCTTGTCTGATGAATGACGCTTCATTTTTCAACACATGGATGATGCATTTGCATTCCATCCCTGAGGGAACACCTGGAACAAAGAGACACAATTTGAGGAAGGACAGTTAATGCAGTGGACAATATTTGTTTAGATCCATGTGAATTTTTCTTTCACCCATATCATCTAACTAAGCATTGACCGAGCACACCCTTAAAAGGAAATTATTTTCATTAATGTCTATATCCTTAACATATCAGAAATATTTCATGATTGCTTTTAGGTGGGAAAAGTTTGACTGTTGAATTGGATTTAAAATTTCCCTAATCTCAATTCAACATATGTAACCTCCATTATATGCAGCTTGCAGGACTTAAAGGATCTACTGCTAACATCTTTGTGCCAGAAATCACTGCATTCATTTGGGACTCTAATGCAGTAAATACATACATTTAAAAGTCAGGGCTGTTGTGGAAGCAAAAAAAGGAGCAACACATAATTAGAGAGGTGGTCATAACGTTGTGCCTTATTGGTGCGTCTTTATCATCATCCACTAAGTTCTCACTTTACAGCTGGGCGACCCACTACTCACGAGCTGTGCATATACCATTTTCAGCATATCCTATTATTTCCCTTGGCCCATCAAGCTCAAATCCTCACACCTGTCTCAATTAGTCCTGCTTTAGTCTGGTGGGAAATCAGTATATAAATAAATTACTCTGGCTGCTTAATAACAATAATTGATGTGTCAGTGCAATGAGATATGAGGTTAACAATCTGCAGATACAGACAGGCCTGTACCCTCCTGCTCCTGACTTTCTTGCGGGCAATGAAAGCCCAGCCGGTCATGCTTGGCTTCCTGCAGCAAGCTCCCCCGTATCCAGCCCAGGCACAGCAGACGGAAAGCCCTGCAGGACGTACACACAGCACACAAAACCACAGCAGGCTTCAGTGTCACACAAGGCAACCCCACGACAAAAAGCGAGCCTCATTTCAGATATCATTTGTCTGAATTTGTAACCTGTGGCATTCTTTGCGATATGAAGGTGCGATCAATCATCTCAGGCATAGCAGAGGAGTGATTGGACGCTGATGTAAGCACATTGCCTTACATGTGAATCAGAACCATCTCTGAGAGGGATGCTGCCTTCTTCTGCAAGGTGCTTTAAGGCCTTTCATATGTCCATCTATTTAAGGTGGAAAACATGCATTATAAAGGAAGAACAGAACTGTTAAAAGGCTGCAGCTCAATGCTTTATAAATCATGCAGGAGCAGAACAATCCTTCAAATCTGTGGCCTCAGGAGACATGTGCACACTGTGATTGCCTAAATACTTCACCGACACTGTTTAGTAGATTGTATATGAGTTATTATTGACGGTGTAATGATGTAGAAGACACATTTCTCTGTATTGTAGAACTATTTCCACTGAATTCTGTTTATTTAATATTTAATTCTCTCATTCTCAAAGCATAAAGCTTTACAAGAGTTGTGCATATTTTGCACATGCACTCAAACAGTAAAATATGATTCAGACCTGCACAATGGCATGCCTGCCAGAGGATTTTTATGAGCTGCAAAACACCATTAAGCTATTCAAAGGTTTCCCACAGACTTGGCCTGTGAATGCACAAACCACACCACGCATGTGGTATCCAGGTCCTGGCATGCCATCATACCTTTCTCTTTCTCATTTATTTGCCCTTATTATGTGAAATACAAAATTTGGTTAATCTGGATGGATGGCCAAGCACCTCCTGAAATTCACGGCAAAATATCTGTGCATTCTTTGCACGCACACCGCTTGTGATTACTCAAAATCTGTTTCATCACTGAAATCAGAGTAGGCACTGGACATCATAGCCGGAATATCTCCATACAAAAATACATATGCAATTAGAGAGAGACTTCTGTTGTAGTGGAATACTTTAATATTTAATGTAGTTAATGATTCCATTGCTTATTCAGGAGAAAATGGAGGTAAGAAGATAATTTGTTCAAAATGCAAAGATTCCAACAGGGTAGATAGCAGACAAGGCAGGAAAAAGCAAGAAGGGGAATGTCCTTGGCATCATAGTGGACCTCTTCTTTGGAAGTGTTTCCCAGTGCCCTGCATGTTTTAGGTGTTTCCCTGCTTCACTACACCTGGTTCAGCTGATTAAAGTTAAGTAAACATCTGTCAATTGGAATCACCTGGACAGGGAAACGCCAAAAACATGCAGGGCAGCATATCTTGAGGACCAGGGTTGGGAAACACTGTTCTATGGGGCCTGTTCGTGTTAAATGAAAGCTTTAGTGTGAAAGAAATCTTGTTATGATTTCATGCTCCCTAAAACAGAACACATAAATTTCCACCACTGCCAGTTTTATTTTGGTCTAGAATGAATCTCTGTACTAAAAGTTTATTAATCCTCAGAGTTTATTTCATTGTAGAAAGTGTCTCAGGGTAACATTTATCTTAACTTTTTAAATTATGGTTAGCGATCCTAGTGGTTGTTTCCCCCTGGATTCTGAAGATCTGATTTGTTGCTTTTGATCAGCAGCTGGGTTAAGAGGGTTCACTTGTTTAAATTCTAAATTAGGATCTTCAAACAAGATAATTTCTCCAGCTTTGTGTTTTCCACTTAAAGTAGTTAGGAGTTTACCAGTTTGCTGCCTTGCAATTCTTTTGCAAGGCAAAAAAATAAAGTAATAGCTCCTTTAAAGAAAGACCCCAGCAAGCAACTGATCTCTATTTAGACATTATCATACCCAGAAGTTTACATTTTGTTGCTGCTAGATAACAACCAAAATATTACATTTGGACCTCTGAATTTAGTTTTATTTATTGTGAACAGCATGCGCCTGTCTCTGCTTTGTTTTGCAGTCAGCTTGTAGTGTTCATTTCCGTCTTCTGATCCTTTTTATTAAGTCTGCCACAACCGAAAAAAAAAAAAAATGCATTTAAAGAATTGGAAATTGTTTTTAAATTTTAGTAAACCATTGTCGTCCATACTGGAAATAACAATATCCTATAATAATCTAACATCTTTAAAAGTGTGATTTATGAATTGACATCTTTAATTTATTTGATATTAGAAGTTGAAGAGGAAGTGGGATGAAATTTAAAATGGTTCTTTGGACCCCCCCCCCCAAGACAATAGAGGACAGATGAAATTTTCGGACCATTTTGGATGCAGGATGCTGTAGATTTTTTTTGGGGGCAGTTTTTCATAAAAACAGTTGGTAGGTGAAATGATGATGATGTGTATTTTTTTTTTTTTGGCATTGAATTACTGGATTGCAAATAATTAATAATATTCTCTTCAAATAGACAGGAAGAAGTCGACGCCCTCAATTAAGTCCACTTAGTCTTGGTTTTAAAAAAAATGTAAATTCAATCAGATAATTTTATTTTAGTTCTAATTTTATAATGAACTTCTTTTTCCTTGTTCATGCCCTTAAATGTCAGTTTCACAATGACATATGCAGAGATCATATTACATATATTGTACTGAACCAGTGCAACAGACGGGTTTTCCTCGCAGCATACTGGAAGCTTCGGTAAGAGGAAGTGTAGAAGGTAGGAACGCAGGTGAAAACATGAGAGGTCGTTTTGTACCCCACCATCCTTCTTGTTTCAGCAACATATGGAGGCCAAGTGGGGTCAATGCGCATTGCAAATGTTAGCACATAGACATCCCTCTTCATCCTGAATGCTCAAACACACATGAATGCATAAACAC